GCAAAAAGCTGGTCAGCCAGAACTATCTGAGCAGTACAGCGCAAAATAGAGTTTTCAAGACTCGCATACCTAGGCTTAATTAAAAAGTATTTAATATGTCTATGAATCTCTTTGGAGGAAGAAACATCAATAACCTGCGCTATGCTGATGATACTACCCTGATAGCTGACAGTACAAAGGAACTGCAAGCCCTAGTACTAAAATTCAAAGAGTACAGTGACAAAATGGGACTAACAGTTTTGTTTTGTTTTGTTTTGTTTTTTTGTTTTGTTTTGTTTTGAAAAATGACAACAGATAGAACAGCCAGCCTTAGAATTGGCAGTTAAAATATTGAAGTGGTGAATAGCGTCTGTCTTTTAGAATCAACCATCAACAATAAAGAAACAAGCAATCAAGAAATACACTGCAGACTAGCACTTTGTAGAGCAGCTATGAAGGCCTTGAAAAAGATATTGAAATGTGATGTGTCTATACCTACAAAGATCAGAATTGTGTAAGCTATGGTATTCCCTGTGACGCTCTATGGAAGCAAAAGTTAGACTTTGAAGAAGTAGGATAGGAAGAGTATTGACACCTTTGAACTTCAATGTTGGAGAAGACTCTTGAGAATATCGTAGACAGCCAAGAAAACAAACCAGCGGATCATCAAACAAATCAACCCAGAGTTTTCACGCAAGGCACAAAAGACCTGGCTCAAATTATCCTACTTCGGACACATTATGCGAAGATGTAGCTCTCTGTGGTTGCTAGGAGCCAAAACCAGTGGCACATAATCAATCTCTTTGCTTTTGAAAATATCTGAAGTGGTGTAATTACTGTTCACATTTTGTTTGTTAGCTTGGGTTTAGTATTTTTTTAAAATATGCATTCAAATCTAACTGCAGTATTTTTTTCCCCACAATCCTATGAGGAGATGGGCCTGAGAAGGACTATTGGCTCAGAGTCATCTGGTGATTTTCCTTGGGTGAAGATGGACTAGAACTTGGCTCTTCCTGCTCCTAGTCCAACACATTAACCACTAGACCGCACTTCCATGGTTATGATAGGCTAATCAGTTGCACACTTGTTGCTCTAAATTTTAGCATTGGGCCTTAAAGTATTTCTGTTGTTCTGATCTTTATCTTAGTGTACGTATATTTGGCATATCCAAATTTGTATAAATGCTTTCTTTGCTTGAACAGTCTTACTGTATTTCGTTGCCCTGCTGGCCAAACTGCTACTATTGTTTTTAAAGGGAAAGGCTTGCAGGTAAATAGCTGCAGAAAAATTATACTGTTGGCAGAGATTTCTGATTTGCTTAGATTAAACCTCCTCTCTCTATGGAGGTCCATATGCACATTATGAATGTGACTAATTTTTGTTAACACAATGAATATCTCAGTATTACGGATGTGACAGAGAAAGCATTCAAGTAGCCTTGGGTGGGGTGAATGTGGTCCTCGCTATTTCCTGTATATTCCAGTTCTTTTTAAATTATATGGGTTGGTACATGTTTAAATGCTTTTTGTAGGTAAAATATTTATGATGGGTTTTAGTTAGTTAGGTTTCTTTAAATGAATGGCTGTGTCCTGATAGAATTATTCAGCAGTTAAAAATTACATGAAATGCTTCTTTAAAACCGTTAGATAATTACCGTATAATTTTTCTAGTGACAGATTTAGCATTGTAGATTTTTCAGAAATTTTGTTCTGGAGACAGGTTGATAGATATTTCTTTAAAGGAGTTTAAACTGCCTATTAAAGTTTAAGAAAATCCTCAGAAATGCCATGTATAGTATGTTGCTCTAGTTTTCTCACATTAAGACAAACTGAATGTAAGAAATTGTATTTCTAAATAGATGTGTGTGGAGGGTCTTTTTTTGGTTTGCTATAGACTCCTTCCCATTGTATTTCTGAGATCAGACTAGTGCTGTGAATGGCTACTGAATGGCTACAGTTGTCATGTGCAATGTTTGCTTAAAATGTTGGTGGAATATGATACGCCTTTGCCTATAATATACACAGGTTAATTTGGTAGTGATTTTGGTTTCCTACAGCATAGTGGTATTACCCACTTAAATCTCTCTGCATGAGTTGTCTTTGCTCCAGGAATTGCCACTTAGAGCAATGGACTACTTTCAGCTTTGCCCGAGCCCAGAATCTTTTTTAGCTATAGAAATGGCCATACCATTTGCAATATTAAAAAAAGATTCTCCATCTTCCTTAGGAAATTTGTTCCAGTACTCAGATTAATCTTTATATACTTCATGAATGTTTAGGGTTGAAAAAATTGCTGTTTCAGTTCACATATTTCAGAATAAAACTTTTCCAGTACATTCAGTTCATTTTATGTTGATTAAAACATTATATTGCAATTTTTAAAATTTTTGGGAGATTATGCGTAGAGATGTCATACGTAGAATATCTAGGAAAGGATGTTGCTTCCACCTTGTAACTCTCATTGTTAAATCCTGCTTTTTGACTACTATCCTGAAATGTCTGAAGGCCAGTATAAACCCGGATGCACAATAGCCCTGGTATGCAAATATTTCTGGTTTTTCAAGAAAAACCTCCAGGTAGAAAAGTTACTTTAAAAAAAACTTGCTGATCTGAACATTCATGAATATAGTAATACAGCTTGTAAATATTTATGTGCAGGTAGAAAACTTTTTTTTTTTTAATTATACACATGATGTGTTGCTGGTCTCTGGGATCCTGAGCATATTTAATGGAAGTGGTAAAGCTTGAAATGTTTTGAATGAATGTTGTATTGCCAGACTCTTAAATAAACTACAACAAGGGAAGAAAAGCTGTTATATAGTAGATAACAATGCTTCTCCCCATTCATGCATTGTTTTCCCTTTCCTTTGTCCAGTTTATTAATGCCCCTATATAGTGATTTCTTTCAGAGTCCCATAACCTATAAGACAAGAATGGAGAATCTTCAGCATATGGAAGCCTCTCTGAAATGTCTTCTCTTCCATTGCTCCTTATCCTGCACCACACATCCGTCACACTTCCTCCTTGAGCAGGAAGAGGCAAGGGGAAGCTGGCTCTTGCTTGTTTGTCTAGTGTATGTCTTCCCTCACTGGGATTCTGGCACACGGGACAGAATACTTTCTTCTGTGCAGAAGGTAAACAAGGAACAGCAGCTGTTTTTCTCCTGGATGAAGAAATGCATGACCTCAGATGGGGCTTAACATCTATTAAGCTCTGCCACTTGATGTTACCCATCTGATTCACACACACGTGCGCGCACACACAACTGAATCTAATTCTCCACCCCTGCTATAAGATAATGCCAGTAGAACAAACATACATGTGCTATATTCAGGCATGTTTTAAATAATCTGTAATTATTCTGGGATATTGGCAGATCTCTACATCTTCTCATCAGTTCCTTCCATAACTTTTATTCATAAAAGAGACTTTTGTTGTGTCTTAAATTCACTATGTCGCAACACAAATGTGAGAACAGGTTGCTTGCGTCTCCCAAGCACTGCACATACAGCAGAAAAAATAGAAGTGGTGACTCCACAAAAGATAACTGCCTAATAAAGCAAAGGCAACGTTCGTGGATATCCATGTGATATTTTTCCTATTCTAGTTTCACTCTTTTACCTTTATGAAAGTATATCTCCAGTAGGTGAGGTAGTCTGGATCCATCCCTCTATTCTCCCAAGGAGATTTTTCCTGGGTTCCATGAATCCTCTGAAGCCAAAAATGTGGGTGTATTCACATGATACATCAAATCACTCCAGTTATATGGGACTGCACATGCTATCATATTACCATCCTTCCCCACTTCTCATCCTGTGCTCTTTAATCATGCTCTGTGGCTTTTCTTAGACTAAGTGTGTTCAAGCCTGAGTACCAGTTCTGTCTGGTGGGCAATAACTAGAATTGAAAGGCTGTTTGGACAACATGCTTAGCCTTGCAAAAGATATTGGACCATGAGAGGAGGGCTAAAATGGAAGCACAGTATTTTTTGTTACTAACTAAAATGGCGCCTTTAGGTACATGTTCTAAGTATCAGATGGATTATGGTTGGTCGCACAGTCAGCCAGATGTTTAGACTGGATTTGGTATTTTTATCCACCT